TTCTTGAAAAATCTCGGTGAGATTGTTGTAATAGTTAGCAATATGAGCTCCATTTTGCTTCATGGTAAATGACCTTTTGTGAAGATCATAAATTTTGGCTTCATCAGAGCCATCTGAGTAAGTCTTTTTTATGGCATCCCATACTTGCATGGTTGTGTCGTAACGGATGAACCGCTTCATCTGATTGGGTGTCATAACATCAAATAACCAACTTTTGACTTGGCAATTTTCAGCTCGCCACTTGTTATACAGTGGGTCTGTGATTGCAAGCTGCTTGGTATCACCGGAAAGATGCCCATGTTTTTCTCGACCAACAATTTTCATCTTTATGACTTGATGCCATAGAGAATAGTTGTTCTCATCAGGTTTAATTCCTGCAGAGAAATTGGAATTATCATTTTGAATGGTGACCACTTGTGTGGTGGAGTTTGATTCACATGGTGTGAAGGACTGAATTGGTGGGTCTGATACTTTATCATCACTAGCCATTGTATAGGCTTAAGATCAATGAAGTTGAAATAAAAATAAAACTGATATGATGATTGAGATATGATATGGCGGAAGCTTTTTTCTGTTTTTGAGGTTCAAGAGTCAGTCGTGATCGACTGCTCTGATACCATCTCAAAATTTGAAATATACTTCATTATTATTTGTTTACAAGAGGGAAGTCCTCTCTTATAAAGGGCCAAAAACTAGTCCTAACAAGTGGACAAGTCAAATGATGATCACATGAGGAAAACACCGAAGAGGAAAATAAGAAGAAAAGGAAAGCAAAGTAATGATGACTAGTTATAAAGCAAAGTAGTGATGACTAGCTATAAAGTAAAGTAATGATGGCTAGCTAGAGGAATAATTATAAGTCTATTATCTATACCAATAATGTCTAGCAGCTATTGTTGACACTTCTGACCAAAATAACCACTGGGAAGTGTATCTAACGGACCAAGTCCACTATATGCATCAACGGCAGATTGAACTTCACTCTCACGCTGGCAACAAGTAATTCTAGCAAACCCTTCACTCAGCTTAGGCAGTTCTTTCTTCTGCAGCATTCTATTCACAATCACAACAGCTTTCCCGCCTTGCACGTTTCCTTCATGGCCGTTCGCTTCACGACCGTGATATACCAAGCTTGGCGGGAAGATCAAGCACCACAGCATGAACATCAACCTGGGCACTACCACCAAGCTTCACAAATCATCCCTTTGTGCTTTCTCTAAATTACACCTACCTATAAACACACTCTTCCCATTCTTCAACCATTTTTGATAGTATCCTATATAAAAACATAAAAAGTGAACTTATAACAGCATAAAACAAGAACCAAAATGAATAGAAATCTGGAGTATCACACTAAGTATTGAAAATAGCAATCTTGAGCCCACTGAGGCATTTCATCGAAAATATTGTGCACATAGAGATAAACCTGGCAAAGCCAGCACCCTAAAATGGTAAAGCTTTCAATATATTAAAAAAGCATTCCCTTTTTAAAAAAGAAAAACTAACAATGAAGTTTCAAAACTTTAAATTTTAATAAAAAATCATGTAATAACTTTATTTAATAGTTAGAATAAAGCATAACACTAAACCAGTCCAATTAAAATGACCTAAAGGTTGAGTTTCCGATTGTGCCCCATACAGCAAAGCAACATGCCGTCCCTTCCTTCTCGTACCTTTTCTTTTTATCCAAGTATGGAAGTAGTTCTAGTAATTTTTTTTTCTTTTGAAAATTTTTAATCACGACATTTTAATTGAGAAGAGCAAAATATTAAAAATATCCCATCTCCAAGGATTTTTTATTTTTTACCAAATATTCAAGCAAGTAGTTTCGTTGACTGTTTTTTTTTTAAAATTCTTTAATCACATTTTCTAAATTTAAATTCATTCAAAAAAGCAAAAAATAAAACGAAAGAGCAAACTAGTTACATTAAACATACAGGCTTTTTTTTTAATTTTTTAATATTTAATTTATAAACAATAGCTTTAATTAAATTGTTTTTCTTTTGTTTTGAACGAACGATACTATTTACACGAATCCGGTGACGAAGTGGGCTAAGCCTCACAATAGGCTAACAAGCGAAGATGAATTTAAACCTTAGATTTCTCACTTACAAGTGAAGATGAATACCACTAGACCGTAGTATTAAGTGGCTAGTGGGTTAAATTGTTAAATACGAGAGAGACGAGGGATCGGTAGGGATTGAACGCATCAGGATGCATACACAGTAACCTTGATTAATGACATTCGAAATAAAGAGAAAAATAAAGAAAAAGAAAGAAAATAATCTATACGAGGGTACAAACACATATTAAATACAAATCATCTAGCTTATTAGATGGAGTATTTGACAAATCAAATAATGTAGCGAGCCAGGCCGCCGCGTGAGGTCGAATGGGGTGTGTTAGACAAATAAGATAATGTAGTAAAATTCCTACGTATTTTAGATGAACTTTATTTTAAGAGGACATGTGAGATTTGTGAATGCCAAAAATACCATACGAATTCTATCTTATTTTACCCCTTTTGCGCCCGAATGATGGTAGTTGGGAATTTCATCCTATCCCAGGCCACGATCAAGCAGATTCACAACTTACAAAGTATTAAACCTAAGACCTCCCTTTTTTTCCTTTGGGGAGTTGTTGTTCGCCTTTGTTTCACTGAATCACTTGTCCTGGTTTATTGATGATAGTATTTTACTGGAAGTAATATATCATACACTCTTTCTTTCTCCCCAAACACCCTTTTTCAATCTTTTTCGTTGATTTTGTTGAAATTATTCAATTTGATAACACAATACAAAAAAATGCTTGGGGTTATCATTCTTTTATTCACTAATCACAAAACCAATTTGTTATATGTGAAATGTACCAATTTTTTTTAACACTATGGATACATTCTTTTGCCATTTATTATTTCTTATTTTTACATAGTTTTTATCCATTTATTTAATCAAAATGTTTGAATTTTTTTATTGGAACCTTTTCTAATAGTATTATAATGAGAGATTTTAAATTTATAGGATTATAAATCTCATAAAATATCAAACAATTAATGTCAAAACTATAAAAATAAAAATATTAATAGTAATATAATGAGGTGTACAAAGTCAAGGGATCTTGATCAAACTTTGAATACGATTAAGGTTTTAATCAAAGAATGTTAAGGATTATGAACCGTATCCAAAATATCCCTAAAATAAAATAAAATTTCTGCCCCCTACCAAACAGCCATACCAAAGAAGTCAACCTAACAATGTCACAATTCCACAGCTAGCCCCTGAAGTTACAGGCATGGCCATGAATTTCACATTTGAGAAAAGTGAGACCTTACATGTGCAGCATACTTATAAGTAATTGAAATGCTCCCAATATTACCAATTAGTTTTATGGTGCAACCTCAACTTTTTTCATGCTGCTAGAGCAGATTGTTCTATGTATGAAACCGAACGGCCACATGTGCTCCATGTAACACGATTTATGTTGTCTACATGCTAGGCTTGAAAATCCGTCTTCTGTGAAGTTGCTTAGGGGCCCGGAGGTGATGGTTGCTCCACCAAGTCTTTGCCCCCACGGTCACCTCGCTTTTAATTCGGACCCTATTTTTGTTGCAGGTTACAGACTTTGAGATGTGGGATTTTAGAGGGAGAACACTTGAAAGTCGAGCAATTTTGGAGGGAGAAGACTTAGACCTAGTTTGGGAGTGAGGTGCTTAAAAAAAAAACACCCATGAAAAAAAGTTGTGAGGGTTTTAGGTGTTTGGTAAACTGAAAAAAAAGAGCTTATTTTGGAAGCTACTGTGAGAATAAGCTGAAATCAAAGGAAAAAGCTGAAGCTGCTATTTGTAGCTTTGGAAAACTGGCTTTTTTTCAAATCACATGGAGCTACAGTGCTTCTTTAATGAAAAAATCCAATATTAGACTGCTTTTTTTTTTCCAAAAGCACTTTTACAAAAAAGTTTACCAAACACTCTGCTGATTTATTTCACAGCCGCTTATTCTCACAGCACAGCCGCTTATTCTCACAGCAGCTTTTTTTTCAAAGCACAGTAATACCAAACCAGCCCTTAGTCAGTCAACAGCCACCGGAAATGAAGATAGGAAAGCAACCCGGTAAGACTTGAACATCAACCCAACCACAAAACCGAATGACCACTGAAAATTTCTGGTGTTTGGTGGCAATGTACTGAGAGTTTGTGGTTGAAAATCTCTAGGTGTTCTGGAAGTAAGCAGACTGCATGCAATAAAGCCTCCAACCATCTATCCAAACTATGTTAAAACCTGGTTGAGCAAAGTTGTAGGCGCTGATTCTTTCTTTTTCAAATACTAATGAAGAAATTTTTTACATCTAAAGAGAAAAAAAAAATGTACTAGCAACGGTTAATTATCACCTGACATAGAATGAACACAATAAGAAGCGAGTGATTTAAGTGCAAGTTTTTATTTTGGACAAAAAAAGAAGGACGTTCATGCAACCAAACGTACAAATAAAGGACTTGTAGGTCAATTGGTTTAAGTATTTACCCATGAGAGAAAAAACACGATGACGCGTTTATGGAATGCAAATCATATAAAGCAATCATGAGCACCCATGTAGGTGGGAGTGTGACATGCATCCACTTTCTTCCACTTCTCTTGTGTTGGCACCACTATTTCTTCATGGCTACAGAGATGGCAGAAGACTTCAAAGTCCACATGAAAGAAGAAAAACTATTCGTCCCATTTCCCCTTTTCCGATTCAACAATGCGTATTAAAGCCACCACAACCATTCTCAGTTTCCATCACTTTCCCCGATTATAGTCCACGGGCCTAGCCCCCAGAGCAGCCACTAATTAAGACCAAATTGGTCTCTGACTCACACACCATTACACATTCTTTATATGCATGTGTAATTATTCCCAACAGAACACAGTATATTTACAAAGAAGAATAACTAGGGACCTGCCTATTGCCTAAGCTATTCCTTACTTACATTTGGTGTCACATATCAGCAGCAACTTCCGATGAAAACTCCTCTGCTTTCATGGCTTTTCTTAATCCGCATTTGCTGTGTTTCACTCAGCTTCCATACGTTTGTGGTCTCTAGACAATGTCCCGGCGATCAGCAATCTTTGTTGCTACAATTGAAGAACAGCCTCACATTTGACCCTGCAACATCTCAAAAACTTGTGAACTGGAACAATGGCTCGGATTACTGCTCTTGGGAAGGAGTGTGTTGCAAAGAGGGTTGTGTTTCGAATCTGGACTTGAGCAGCGAGGCGATTACTGGTGGACTTGATCATTCCAGTTCTCTTTTTGGTCTGAAGTCAATTGAGAACCTAAACTTGGCTTACAACTTCTTCAACTACACTCAGCTTCCTTCCGAGCTCAAGCAGCTAACAGGTTTGAGTAATCTGAACTTGTCGAATGCTGGCTTTGCAGGGCAGGTTCCAATTGAGATTTCACACCTTACGAGGTTGGTAACTCTTGATTTGTCTACCTTTTATTTCTCGGGAGCTCTGTTGCTGAAACTTGAGATGCTGAATTTGAATGTGCTGCTTGGGAATTTTTCTGAGCTTGTTGAACACTATCTTGATAGTGTGAATATTTCAGCACAGAGAACTGAGTGGTGCCAAGCTATATCATCTTCACTGCCAAAATTGAGGGTGCTGAGCTTGTCCAGTTGTAATCTTTCAGGCCCTATTGATGGTTCATTACTGAAGCTTCACTCCCTCTCGGTTATTCGTTTAGATAACAATGATTTGTCTACTCAAAGTTCCCAAATTTGACTTCCTTGCACCTAAGCGATTCTGGCTTATATGGTTCATTCCCAGAGAAGATCTTCCAGCTACCTACATTGCAGACTATTAACTTATCAGGCAATCAACATCTTCAGGGTTCCTTACCAGAATTTCCAAAGAATGCATCTCTCCGGTCCTTGGTTCTAAGCGGGGCTAACTTTTCAGGCCAGCTGCTTCCGAACTCTCTTGGAAACCTCAAAATGTTGTCCAACATAGATATTTCGGGTTCCAATTTCACTGGATCAATCCCAAGGTCAGCAGGACACCTTCATCAATTGGTTTATTTTGACTTGTCACGGAACAAGTTCAATGGCTCTGTTCCATCCTCCAGTATGGCCAAGAATCTGACCCTTATAAACCTTTCTCACAATCAGCTAACGGGTCAGATTAATTCCACTCACTGGGAAAACCTTACTAATCTGATGTATCTCAACTTGAGATCCAATCAATTAGATGGGTTTATTTCACCATCTCTGCTTTCTCTTCCCGTCCTGCAACAATTACAGCTTTCCAACAATCACTTCTCTGGTCAGTTGCCTGAATTTTCAAATGTCTCTTCGTACTTACTGGGTACCCTCGATTTGAGTTACAACAAATTGGAATGGTCAATTCCGATGTCTATCATGAAATTCCAAGGGCTTAAGATTCTTTTACTTTCATCAAACAACTTCACCGGCTCTTTCCTTCTGAATGATATTCAGCAGCTAAGCAATGTTTCAAATCTTGATCTTTCTTTCAATAGCTTGTCTATTAATTACAATGACATCAATTCCTCTCCTTGTTCATCTCCAAAAATTACCACCTTGAAGTTAGCTTCTTGCAATTTGAGAAGAATCCCAGGTTTCTTGCGAAATCAATCGACATTAGGCACTTTGGACCTATCACAAAACCAGATTCATGGTGAGATACCCAACTGGATTTGGAAGTTGAGTAGTCTTAGTCAACTAAATCTTTCTTGCAACTCTTTGTTAACACTAGAAGGTCCTGTCCTCAATCTTACTTCTATTTTCTCAGTGCTTGACCTTCATTCCAACCAGCTTCGGGGACAAATTTCAGTTCTTTCACCATTTGTCTATTATCTGGATTACTCAAGAAATAATTTCAGCATTCCGGCTGACATTGGTAATTTCCTTATTGTTAGAGTTGCTGCACAATAAAACAGGAACAATATTACCAGAGAATGAAGAACGTAAAATGAAAATCTGTCTTGGGTTGAGTTGCGGACAATGTCGCTTTCTTTAAGACGTTTCACGGCTTTGCCCAATGTGTGCAAACAGTTCGAATAACACCACGTCGTCCCCAGGATAAAACAGCCCAGAATCCCTCTGTCTAGACCTTCCTTTGCACTGAGGAAGATCCGAAAACACTCACCCTCTGAATACTCAGTGTTATTAGCTAGGTTTTTCTTAGTTTTTTTCTTTGTGTGTCGACTAAAGAGAGGTCCTCAAATTTATATAGAAAAACCAAAGTTTAACGTTGAAGAGGTTGAGGGAAAGGTGGCCTAAGAATCAGGCCAAAAAATCTGGTAGTGATCACCTAGTTGAGGAAGACTAGGTCTTTTCCTTTATCTTCAAAACCAAAATCTATTTGATAAAATACAAGTAACCATAAAAATAGGAGAGCTAGTTCCTGAATAAAACCATAACTATGGTTTTAAAATAAACACAAAGTTTCAACAATCCCCCACTTGTTTATTTAAAAACAAAATTTGTTCATTGAGCAATCAAGTTATAGAGTTGTGCTTAAGCACAAGTGTTAATCAACTTGAACTAGTACATAGTGTCATTGCCTCAGAACAACAAGTGTTACACCCCACCCCCAATTATATGTATAAATTCGTAATTTTCCCAAAAATTTATTGGAATTATAAATTTAGTCCCTAGTTCTTTACCCAATCCGGATCTAAAAGTGGGATTTCCTCCAACCCTCAAACTACCATGTGGCAGCACCCCAACACTCCTCACTTTTCTCTCTTTTTTCCCCCACCCCGAGACCTCTCTCTCACTCTCACCTTCAGCTCTTTCTCTGCACTCCCTCTTCCTCTCTCGAAAACCCTCTCACTCTCTCTCCCTTCGACCCACACCAGACAGCACCCACATCACCTTCTCGCTGTCATCTACACCACCACCATCAACACCTCATCTTTTTCTTTCTTTCTCTCTCTCTCTCTCTCTCCAGCGACAGAAAACTCTCCAGTGAGATTTTCTCATCTTTCCAGCTAGGTAAGCCTCGGGATTCTCTCTCTGTGTTTTAGGTTGATGTTGAGTTCGATTGTTGAGAGATTAATTGTTGTTGAAACACCCCAACCCCATTTTATTTAAAAAATTGTTTTAAAGCCGTAATTGGTGAGCCTGTGGGGCCCACCTTGTTTTATTTTTTTGTGTTTCCCAGTCTCCCTTTCTCCTATCCCAGTTCTCTTTCTTCCTCTTCTTCTTCCCTTTCCCGTATACCTCTCTCATCTCTCTCTCCCTCTCTATCACCATGAACACCCACCACCATAACCACCTGCAGCTACTCTACTCGAGAACATCATCATCATCATCAAGCATTGCTCTAGTCTCTCTTCCATCGCAGCGAGATTGGTGAAAGCAGAGAAAAGGAACCTCCGGCGAGCACTGACCCTTTCGAGGCCATTTCCGGCCAAACCAAGGCAAGTTGGCCGGCATGTAACGTATCAATCTCTTCGTCTCCCTGAGTACTACAACTTTCCTTTTTGTTTCACTCAATTTCGTTGAGTATTGAAGAAGTTATACTCATTTGAATTTTACCCAGTTTCCGGCGACCTCCGAGTCTTTCAAGGAATTTTCCGGCCAAACCACGGCGAGTTAGACATCATGTGAGGTATCATTCTCTTCGTCTCTTCAAGGGCTACAACTTTCATTTTGTCTCACTTGATTTCGTTGAGTACTGACAAAGTTATAGCCGTTTAAAGTTGGGTAGTTTTCCAGCCGAATTTCCTACCTTCTCCTTCGACAAACCCAGGCCATCCGGCCTATCCCATTTCCTCCCCTCGGGCCTTAGGCCCGTGTTGTCTTAAGCCCAAAACCCTAACCCCTTTAGTTTTTAAGTTTGTTATTTGGTTTTTAAAACCCTTAAGGCCTGGGCCGGTTTTGACTTAAAGGGCTTAAAGCCCTGTTAGTTTTTGTGAGGCCTTAGGGCCTTGGTGCCGTGGGTGTGTGTGTTAGGTGTGAGTGTGTGTATGTGTTTATGCATGCACATGCATGCCCCGTGTGTGTGTGTATTTGTAGTATGTGTGTGTGTTTGGGCTAAAGCCCAAACCCCAATTCTCACCCTAAAGCCTTTTAACCCAAAAACCCTAGGTTTCTAAAACCCATTTAAAACCCTAATCCGGATTTCAAGTCTAAAACTCGTTTGACCTAATTTGACGGTTGACTCCCGGTCAACGTTGGCCTTCAAGGTTGACTTTTCGGGTTTTTGCTCAAAATCCCTCTTAAGCTAATTTCAACGTTCTGAATCTGTTTCCAACGTCCGTTTTCCCAAATTCAATTTCTATTATATAGTTTTATTTATTGGACTCTTTATGTGCTTAGGGGCAATTATTGTGACGTTTCCGTCTTCGCTAGTGGCGTAGTTTTTGGCAGCTAAGTACTGTGAGTTGACCCTTTCTAAAATTACATGATTTTATAGTTTAATTGCATAAATGATTAGCATGCCTACGAATTTATGAAGTGATTTATGTGAAGCCTGTTGATTTAATATATTGATTTTCGTCTCGTGTTTTTGGTGAGGAATTCATTGTTGGCCTATATTGAGCTATATTTTAATATATCGTATTTTCTATAAAAACCATGAACTGGTAGACTATCTGATAGATGACGATAGGATGCTAGAACATGTTTTTGAACCCCTCTTTATAGTGTAGACGATGATCGATAATCTCAGTTATGAAGTGGTTATTTATGAGATGCGTGAATATTTGTGCGTACCTAGTAGACACTATGCCGCCTGGGGCGAGGAACTGGTGTTGGCATTTAGGCCGGGAGAAATAATCCCTAGCTATGGGCTGAGGGACATGGAGCAGGTATTGGGCCGGGAGTTGTTAATCTCTGACTACGGGCGCAGAGACCACGGAGCAGGCATTGGGCTGGGAGTTATATTTATTCGGTGATGTTACTAGCAACACACCGCGCTTATGAGACGATTTATGAGACGTTTACTATTTTGATTTCCGCGATGTTATTCCGCGATATGGCTTTTGAGATATTTTGGCATGCTATGATTTTTATTAAATCCATCACTTATTATGCTAGTAGTTTTCATTATATAAACTGTGGGGGTTAGTATCTTGATAACTGTTTTATTATTATTATTATATATATATAAACTTGGCTCACTCACCTTTGTTTTGTGCCCCCATTCAGGACTTAGAATCAAGGCATCTAATCCCGGCGTGAAGGCACTTCCGCAGCAGCATATTCGAGTCCTCTTGGTGTAGGACCCTCATCCTTTATTTATTCAATTTTATATAAATTCTTTTAGTGATTAGGTTTAGTTGTATGCTCTAAACACGTTCCTAAATTGTTAGTTCATTGTATTTCAAATTTCTAACCCTTATTTATTTCTTATTCTTAGCTTTTGTATCAATTAATGGCTTTCGTCACCCTCGGGTGTCGGCCAGCACGTGTCTATCCTGGTATTCGGGGAATATCAGGGTCAGGGCGTGTCAGTTGTTGGCAAGGTTTAAAACGAGAAAACGAGACTGGCTCGGGGAAACGAAACCCATCTCCAACGAGTCCCATGGGTGTCGAGGAGTTTTTTTACCACCACTGGCCGTTTCACGACGAACCAAAGGTATCAAATCACTCATTTCACTTTCCACTACATGTTGATACTAGATCGAAGCTTAGGGTCCTTGTTTATCGTCAGCCGGAGCTGGGAAAGCTTCGACGTTCACCTCTATCAAGCCCAAGCCTTTCAGGCCGTTTCAAACCCTCAGGTTTTAGGCCCGTTAAGAACCTAGCCCAAAATCCTTTTCCGTTTCATTTTTATTTTTTATTTTAATTGTTTTAAAACCTAAAAGGCTTTCGGGCATGTTCCTTTAAGGCCTTTAGCTCATTGACCCAACCCTAAAAAAATCTTATATTTGGGCCAGGCGTTTAAGCCTGGGCCTGTGTGATTTAAAACCCAGGTTAAGGCTTTAGGGCCAAATAGAACTTGGGCTTCCAGCCCAACCCTAAGCCTATTTCCCTAAACCCATTAACCCTAAACACGGTCTAACCCTAAGCCCAGACCCTGTTTGGCCTGGTCTGACCCGAACCCGTTAACTTTAACCTGATCTGACTGTTGACCCTTTCGGATATTAAAATCTTTCATCTTCCCCTTCTACACCTGACTCTTTATGTCGGCACATTTCTGATCAAGTTCCTGGGCTTCCCTGACCATATCCACCAAAACATATCTAACCTGGAAGTGTGCCAACCAAGCTTTCTGATCACGCGGTTTCACAGTAATGCTGGTTTCTCGAAGAGAAAATAGTAACGGAACATGGATAGCTCCAAGAGAAGCAAGATGTCCGTGATATTTCCGGCTAAGTGCATCCGCCACTACATTGGCATGTCTGAGATGATATTCGATCGTGCAGCCATAGTTAATGATGAGCTTCATCCATCTTCTTTGCCTCAAACTCAAATCTTTCTGCATAAAGATATATTTGAGGTTCTTATGATCAGTGAAGATGCGGCACTTCTCGCCATACAGGTAATGTCTCCAGATTTTCAGAGTAAACACCACTGTGCCAAGTTCCAAATCATGAGTGGGATAATTTCTCTCGTGGGTCTTGAGGTGCCTAGCAGCATAGGCAATGACTTTCCCATGCTGCATCAATACACAACCAAAACCTGAAAGAGATGCAACAATGTAGATCTCAAACTCACCACCCTCTTCCGGAAGGGCAAGGACTGGAACTTGAGTAAGATGTTGCTTCCACTCCTGAAAACTCTGTTCACAGTTTTCATCCCACTCAAACTCGACCTCCTTCCAACTTAACTTAGTCAAAGGCAAGGCAATTGCTGAGAAACCCTTAACAAATCGTTGGTTATAGCCAGCTAGACATAGAAAACTCCTCACCTTTGTAACATTCCTCAGTTGCTCCCATGTAGATATTGCCGAAACCTTCTGAGAATCCACACTAATTCCC